CAGTTGATGTAATGTATTCATAAAATGTATTGTATTCCATTGTTTCTCGTTCTATTGTATTATGTGTTTTGTATTATATCTTTATGAATATATTACATAAACTGAGTGCTACGTAGGCTCTCCCCAGTCTACACTGACATGTTTGTCCAGGCTTCAACTTAAGAAGTCGGCTAAATAAGGAATAAGAGGATCTGGGTACGAGACAATAAAGCACACTGAGACGGTATAGTTAAAACAAGTATATCTACATTTACATGGATACATTTTAGTGACATATTCAAGAGTTAAAAATCTACTCGGCCGTGAGCTTCTTGTACGCTTCTCTTTTCATCGCATTTACTTTGGCTACGACTTTGAGCGCTGGACCAAGCTTCATTTTCAGTGCGACGACCATGTGTTCCTCCTTGAGAAGCATCAACGCCTGTCCATCAATCTCTTCGCTTACAAAAGCATCGGCGTACTCCTCACAGCCTGGCAGACCTCTGTATAGGAAAATCGTGGTCATCGGTCAATCAAGTGATCAATCAATCAACTAATCAATCAATCATCTAATCAATCATCCCAATACAATCAACCCATAACTGTTTAGTCAATTAATCAGTAAATCAATCAATCAAACCGTCAATCAATCAATCATCTAATCAATCAATCAATCATCTAATCAACTCACAACTGTTTATTCAATTAATCAGTAAATCAATCAATCAAACCGTCAATCAATCAATCCATCAATTAATCAATCAATCATCTATTCAATCAACCTGTCTACCAATCGATTGGTCACTCAATCAACTAGTCAATCAATCAATCAATCGATCAGTCACTCCATCAACTAGCCACTCAATCAATCAGTCACTCAATCAATCCACCAATCAACTGTCAGGTAGTTAACAGCCAACCGATCAAACAAGCCACCGAGCAAGTACGGTACCATGCCAATTACTGAACCAGACTAGATAGATAGTCTWAACAACCAACCAAACCACTAAGCAAGCAAACAAGTGAACAAGAAGAACAAGACAAACATCAATTAATGTACCTTATATACTCTGAAACCTGCTTTACGTTCCATTTTGCTTCCTCTATGTGTTCATATATCCAAAGAGGCTCTATTTCTCCTCTCGACCAATCAAAATACATACAAGGTGCATTATCTATAGAACAGTATGTCAATAAGTTCAACATCGTTGAAATTGGGATTCCTGTGTTACGTACGTTGTTTGTGGACTAGTATCTAAAGATGGAGTGCAAACCGTGAAAACCTAATGTATAAATAAATTTTACAAAGAGCTGAATTTCGTTTTGATTAGCACTATTAACTACGAAGAGTAAACTTTTCGTGGGGTTTGAAGTGTTTTGAAGAGCRCAATTCCTTCCCAAATAAAACTAAAAGCTATAATTATTCAATTTAGTTTACCGATATGTTAAATGGATATTACTTCTTTAAACAACTGTTATGACTCAGGAAACACACCTGACTGTGCGCTTGATGCAAATGTTTAGTAATTAAAGAGAAGAAAGCAATAGACACACAAACATACGGAACATTTACTGAAAAACATTTTCAACMAAGAAAATTATATTGAAAGGTTTGTTTTATGGTATAGAATTCGAAATTGAAATGGAATTCTACGACACCTTGAGCATTATTTTAAACGTGAGTTTCGCAGCCGTTTACTCCTAAAAACAGTTTTCAAGACATCCTGTGGCGAAGATTAGAATTCTCTTAAAAATTGCACGACAAAATTCGGATTGAACTTAAACATTATGTCAATAATATAGTAAGAACACCCTTAGATACCGCCCGATATTGTGCTAGCGTGACATTCGTTCGTTAAAAAGGCCAAATATTAGGGATATTAGCCTTAGCTATCGAGATTAAATGCATACGGGATATATACCCTACTATATGGAAATACTTTATAATGAAGTATTGATTGCACTTTTCAGTAGATATCTTGGTTTCGAAGCTAAAAACGATTTTGAAAGCGGTTCTTTTTCGAAGGTACAACAACTATTTGGATTCCAAGGAGCACAATTTCTTTGGAAATATAATATAATAATAATAATAACATTTTAGAWTCAAAATTATTTTCTAGCCGAGAAAACGGTTTGAAAGAGACTTCGGTAGTGAGATTAATATAATATAGGAATTACATCGCGAATTACCATCCTACAAGTAAAAGGAACTGAAGATATTTACAATACACAACGATTATACATGGCAGGGAGGTGGCTCAGACTTGAGATCAAATTCAACAAACCTTTGCCATCAGTGGAATCGCTCTTTTTTTTGACCAAATCGTTTCCCATATTAATTCAGGCTTTTTCACGTTTCTAGTCAAGTTTCTGTGGCTTCTTTTTGGCGTTGAAGCTGGAGTTGTCGAGATCGCTTTGCGAGGTTTATTTTATGAATAATACACCACTARCAAATGACACTTTGATAGGATACGGGTACAATTAACGGAATAAATACCTAACAAGGCTTTCACTGTGCCTGGAAACCAGAAAATTTAACTCTCAAGAACTAAAAAAATATAATAAAAATTTTGAAGAATTTATGCGATCAAGCAAAAATTCACACTATTTCCCCTGCTTTTTCTCAGGCTTTTGATATTTCTATATTTTGACCTTCTTTTGACATTAATTTAATTTCAATATTCTGGCTGAAGGTTCAATTATTATGCAAATTGCTTGTAATTTGGTGTAAGAAAGACGTCGGTGTGCTGCGTTACGTTTACTTTAATGTAACGTATCGTAGTCGGCATACGTTGCGCTACGTTAGAGTGCTATCGCGTAGCAGTACGTTGCGTTGTGTACTGGATATGAACGTTGTTTCACGTTATGAGATGGTATGTCAAATTAGCTTACGTTTACGTACGGCTATACAAAGCGTTTTCTTCTATTCTAGTTCGCTTCATTGCTAAGTTTTAACGTAGTTAGCWATGSTGTTTTGTAATTTGTTGCGTTTCRCTGAGTTTTGAGTTACGTTATATTTTGTTCAGTGCTAGTTTAATTYAGTTTCTAAGTACCTTATCTCAAATGTCCTGGATTTAACGCAAGCGATGAGATAATGAAAAGATATCAAAAGATTGGAGTCATTTGCATTGAATTTGGTATAATYATCGACCATTATCGAACAAGAGACGACTTTCAGAGAAAGAACAYTTAGACATTTAATAATGATAATTTTCTTTTCTACTTGTGTTTCAAGGTTTTTGTCCATGTTGCCCGACTTTTAAAAAAATCCCGTAAGAAATAAAATGCGGATTAAACAAAACTTACGTAATGTTTGTATTCTCAAATATTGGTTGGGCTGCCTATATTTACACAGGCAATCAAACGAAAAGAATCAAACTAGYAGTAATAAATCTAAAACGCGATGTGTCACCGATAAGCCACTCACTGCATGACTWAACAAAGAGCCAGAAACTACAGTAGTCTCTCTCCCACATCYACCCCACGGAGCCTCGTCTTCAAGAGTTCTACTATAWCRAAAGTTGTCTGTTATCATTATTTTGCTGCCATCACCTTAYAATGACCTCATTYTRSGRGCAGTCTTAMAATCCTCATTGCCATTGTTYGTGAAAACGAATTCTAATGCAAATTTKCYAGCAGTGAATGGCATACTCTAGTGMGTTCAKCATCTCCCTGAGAACAAGTTTCGAAGTTTTTGTCCATAATTTATATCTTTGAAAGTTTATTTGAAGCCATTGTATAAATATATTGTATCAGATTTGCTATATATAACTCCAGTAATAAACGATTTTTGGAGTGGTTTGACTATTATATATGGTCAAAATCATAGGCTACATCATTTTGTGTCAAAATCTAAGTCTGCTTTCTTATATGGTTATAATCTTAAGACTGAGTCCTTATATGGTCATAATCTTAAGACTGAATCCTTAT